GAAAAATATTAAGTAAATAATAGATCATTTGCTTCAAGATTTGGCAAATGTAAGGGTAGGAAATGCTGTTCTATGTTATCCTGCTTGGCCTTTTTTCCAACTTCTCAGAGGCGTTCTGCCTTCAAACTCCCTCTTGAGGAAAATAAACATCCACAAAGATTTTTGCATCATCTGCAGATATGATTCAAATAAAGCCTTGAGCTCAAATATAATCCAGGCTTCCTTAGCTGGGAAGGACAGGCATCTCAAGTCCAAGTCTTTCCTGGTATTTCACCTCTGTCTTCATGGTTTTATGGTTTTACTGGGTCTGCCCCTCCTCTGGAAAGCCACCACAAATCCGATTTCTGAGAGAGCAAGATATAAATAATAAACAGAATGACTCCTTGAGATTTCTTGTCCTTGTGAGGAATTTTCAGACGTTCCTAAGACATGAAATCTTTTCGTTTAAATAAGAGTTTGGGAGTCCGTCATAAGAACTGGATAACTAATGGCCTAGTGACACAGGAACATATGTCAGAGACTTTATTCAAAGAAATAAAGTAGCTCAATATGTGCCGATAGCAAAAGGCGCATGGGATCTATTGTGATGTGAGAACAGCTAGGTACAGAACAATATGTGCAAGGTACAGAACCATATCTGCAGACTTTTTCTGTAAAGGGCTGCATAGAAAATGCTTTGGGCGTTGCAAGCCGTACAGTCTGTGTTGCAGCTGCTCAGCTCTGCCATCGTGGTCCACATGAAAGCCATCATAGGCAGTGCACAAAGCAGCTGGGCTGTGTATCAATAAAACTTTATCTATGGACACAGATGTACATTGCATATAATTTTTGTGTGTCATAAAGCATTCTTCTTCTTTCTTTCTTTTTTTTTTTGAGACAGAGTCTCTCTGTGTAGCACAGGCTGGAGTGCAGTGGCGTGATCTTGGCTCACTGCAACCTCCGCCTCCTGGGTTCAAGTGATTCTCGTGCTTGTCTCCCGAGTAGCTGGGACTACAGGCACACAGCCACCATGCCCGGCTAATTTTTGTATTTTTAGTAGAGATGGGTTTCACCATGTTGGCTGGGATGGTCTCAAACTCCTGACCTCAAGTGATTTGGCTGCCTCAGCCTCCCAAAGTGCTGGGATTACAGGTGTGAGCCACTACACCTGGCCTCAATTTTGTTTTGTTTTGAGACAGTGTCTCACTCTGTCACCCAGGCCAGAGTGCAGCTGTACAATCACAGCTCACTGCAGCCTCAACCTCCCTGGGCTCAGGTGATCCTCCTGCCTCAGCCTCCTGCATAGCTGGGACTATAGGCCTGTGCCACCACCCCCGGCCAATTTTTGTATTTTTTGTAGAGATGGAGTCTCCTGCCGGGCGCGGTGGCTCACGCCCATGTAAGTCCCAGCACTTTGGAGGGCCGAGCGGGGCGGAGCATCACAAGGTCAGGAAATCGGAGACCATGGTGAAACTCCGTCTCTACTAAAAATACAAAAAATGGAGCCGGCGCGCGGTGGCGGCGCCTGTAGTCCAGTCTTGGGAGGGCTGAGGCAGAGAATGGCGTGAACCCAGGAGGCGGAGCTTGCAGTGAGCCAGGATCGCGCCACTGCACTCCAGCTGGCTGCGACAGAGCGAGACTCTGTCTCAAAAAAAAAAAAAAAAAAAAAAGAGATGGAAGTCTCCTTATGTTGCCCAGGCTGGCCTCAAACTGCTAGGCTCAAGTGATCTGCCCACCTCAGCCCTCCCGAAGTGTTGAGATTATAGCATGAGACAACGTGCCTGGCCTTTCTTTCAAATTTTAAAATCATTTAAAAACGGTAGAAAGGCAGCCCAGGCATGGTGGTTCCATGCCTGTAATCCCAGCACTTTGGACGACAAGGCCTGAGCTGGGTGGAATCACCTGGAGTTCGAGGAGTTCAATAGGAGAACCAGGCCTTGAACCAACAGCGTGAAAAACGCCCCGTCTTACTACTAATAAAAACAACTTAGCTGGGTCATGGAGGTGCGATGCCTGTAATCCAGGGCTACTATGGGAGGCGTGAGTCAGGAGAGATCGTTTTGAACCAGCAGAGGGAGATGGTTGCAGTGAGCCAGATTGCCCAGCGCGCTCTATCATACACGCTAGCTTTGGTTAACAAGAGGTGCAAGACTCTGTCTCAACAAGAAAAAAACGAAAGTAAAAACCAGTTTGTATCTTGCGCAGGCATACAGAACAGTGAGAGAGATTTTGGCTTGGAGGACGCTTGTAATTTGCCAATCGCATCTAGTAAGCCTCTGCATGCAAACGAAATACTAGAGAAACACCAGAGGGGTATTAGAGAGGCGATGCTACAGTGTGCATGCGCTGCCGTGCAGGCGCTGTGCATGTGTGGTGTACATTGTGTGCTGTGTGTACGCGTGCCCTTCGCCATACCCGTATGGCGTTCCACCAGTCCATAGATTCAACAGCGTGATGCGATCAGCTATTAACATCAGAAGAGCTGGGCGGTGGATAGTGCACGCCTGTTAAATCCCAGCACTGTTTGGGAGGCTGAGGGCTGGTGGATCACGAGTGTCAGGAGTTCAAGACCAGCCTCGGGCAACATGATGGAAACTCCGGTCTCTATTAAAAATGACAATCATGATGTAGCTGGGCATGAGGTGGCGCAATACATGTAATTTCAAGCTGACTTGGGAGCGCTGAAGCAGGGAATTGGCTTGGCAACCGGATGGCCTGGAGCAGAGGCTGACATTGAAGTGAGATTGGCACGCCACTGCACTCCGCGACAGGGCTAGAGAGTGAGCGGGGGGCTGACATCCATCTGAAAAAAGAAAAAAAAAAATTCCAAAGAGCTGGGGCAGTGGCGGTCGACCTCACCTGTAATCCCAGCACTTTGGGAGGCCAAAGGTGGGCGTGAGACTCACCTGAGCGGGTTGGGAGTTTGAGACCGCAGCCGAAGCTACGTTGCCGGTGAAACCGCGTCTCCACACCAAAAGATATTAGAAAAATAAGCCAGTGTGGTGGCACGAGCCTATAATCCCAGCATATTCAGCGGAGGCTGAGGCAGGAGACATTCACTGAACCTGGGAGGAGGCAGAGGTTGCAGTGAAGCCGAGATCATGCCACTGCCACTCCAGCCTGAGTCAAGCAGATGTGAGACTCGTCGTCTCTGTCCGTAAGTTATAGTATACTATTATATATACACACACACACATGTATATATGTATTCAAAGAAAAAAATTTGTCTGTACTGAGCATGTACAGACTTTTTTCTTGTCCTTATTCACTAAACAATACATTAAAACAACTATTTACATTGGCTTTACAGGGTATTACATATTATAAATAATCTAGAGATGATTTGAAGTGTACAAGGGAATGTGCATAAGTTATATACAAATGTTACTTTATTTTACCTAAGAGATTAAGCTTCTACAGATTTTGATATCTGTGGAAGGTCCTAGAATCAATCCCCCAGGGACAACTGGAGGGACAACTGGAGAGAGAAGGGGAGAGAGACAGAGATTTGTTTACATCTCTAAAAGAACACACTAAAAACTGGCAACAGGAGGTGCTTCTGAAGAGGGGAACTAGTAACTGTCAGAGGAAATGAGAAGGAAGATATTTTTCACCACATGCCCTTTTACACTACTTGAGTTTTTCTCCACATGCCTGTGTTACTTTTACAAAGCAGAAAACATTCGCCAACGCAAGAAGGATTACTATGCCACAGACAATACAAATGAGACACTATAAACAAATATGCACAGTCGCGCATCACATAACGACATTGGTCAACGATGGACCACATATACGACTGTGGTCCCGTAAGACTGTAAGGCGGTATTTGTACCGTATGCTCTCTATGCTTAGGTATGTTTAGAGACAGATACTTCCCATTGCGTTACCATTACCTACAGCAGGGGTCCCCAACCCTGCAAGGTACCAGTCCATGGCCTATTAGGAACTGGGCTGCACGGCAGGAGGTGAGTGACAGGTGAGTGAGCAAAGCTTCATCTGTATTGACAGCCACTCCCCATCACTCACATTACCACCTGAGCACCGCCTCCTGTCAGATCAGTGGCATCATTCGATTCTCATAGGAGCTCGAACCCTTTTGTGAACTGCGCATGTAAGGGATCTAGGTTGTACACTTCTTATGAGAATCTGATGCCTGATGATCTGTCATTGTCTCCCATCACCCCCAGATGGGACTATCTAGTTGCACGAAAACAAGCTTAGGGCTCCCCCGATTCTTCATGATGGTTAGTTGTGTAATTATTTCATTATATATTACAATGTAATAATCATAGAAATAAAGTGCACAATAAACGTAATGCACCTGAATCGTCCCGGAACCATCCCCCTCACACTGGTTTTTCAAAAAAAATTTCTTCCACAAAACCAGTCCCTGGTGCCAAAAAGGTTGGGGACCACTGGCCCACAGTTTTCAGTACCGTCACATGCTGTACAGGTTTGCAGCCTAGGAGCCACAGGCTCCACCGTGTAGCCTGGGTGTGTGGTAGGCTATGCCATCTAGGCTTGTGTGAGTATACACTGATGTTCTCACCATGATGAAATCGCCTAACAACGCACTTCTCAAAACATAGCCCTGTCATTAAGGGACGCGTGACTTCACAGGCAATCACAGCACAACTCCAGGGGGAGCCATTCACTGGGCCATTTGTAGAATGGAGCCATGGCACACCCCACATGGCAGTCCTGTTGGTAACAAAGCTAACACCAAGAGTTTCTATGAAGTGAAATTTGTGAGTAAATATTAAAGGAGTAGGGTCAGAGTGGAAGTTGTGGGAGGGGAATAAAATCTCACTCTTTCCGTTTTATGCTGTTCCTTATCAGGACCACAATAAAGCCAATCTTCTGCCAATATTTGCTTTTGATTTTTTTTCTCCAGAGTGGAAGAAAAATGCCCAGGCCTGACAGGAATCGGACAGTAAGATTGAAAGTTGGAACAAGAGCAGGAAGCTCACCCGGAAGTAAAATCATCTCCAGAACCTCACGATGAAAACGCCACTTACTTCACGGAAACACTCAAAAGCTGACTCCACTTGCGAGACACCCCTCTTGCAACTCCAGTCAGCTTTCCCAGGTATATTGGGATTCCATAAAACCCATCTGCAAGCATTTTGACCCAGGTTGGAGTCTCAAACAGCAGCCTCCCACCTAAGAACATGGAAGATGTGGATTTTTGGTCAGCAGTGGTTTCAAAATCAAGACATTTCACATAAATGCAGGAGTTTCTGGCTTCTCTTGAAACACTTGGCTCTCTAGCCACCCTGAGCCCACATTCCCACGTGGAAACTTCAGGCTGCAGTCAAGTGGTAATTGTTCCTTCCAGATGGGGCAAGAGCTCCCAGTTTTACCACAGTCCCCACCACTCCCTGTCACCCTCCATCAGGATCACTTCACTCAATTCTTTTTTTCGTTTGTACTTCATTCACTCAACCAATATTTATTGAGCACTTACTATGTGCCAGAAAGCTGCAAACAAAACTGACACAAATTCCGCCTTCGTGCAACTTATATTCTGGTTGGGGAGGCAATGAACAAAAAGAAGGAAAAACATAAATGCCAGAGGGTGGTAAGTTCTGCTGATAGTGAAAATAGTGCTGCAAAGGTGGAGGCATGCTGGGTGTGGTCAAGGAAGGCCTTAGGAGGAAGGTGCATTTGATCACAGACCTGAAGCAGGTAAGGACAGCAAGCCTTGAGGATATCTGTGGAAAGAACGGTCCAGCCAGCAAGAACAGCAAGTGCACAGGCCCTGGGGCAGGACTGTTCCTTGTGTATCTGCAGAGCAGTAAGAAGGCCAGTGCAGCTGGAGAAAACTAAGTGAGGGGGAAGGGGGCGGAAATGAGGTCAGACAGGGGATAAAGTGCCAATCTTGTAGGGCCTCGTAGGATCTTTGACTTTTACTCTAAGTGAGGCGGGAGCTGTGGAGGATTCTGAGCAGAGGACAATGTGGTTGTGTGAGTGATAGACTCCCTCTAGCTGTATGTGGAGACTGGACTGTGTGTGTGAAGGGGCTGGGGTGGGATGGTGGAGAAAGGTGCAAGCTAAGAGGCCAGCGAGGACCTACTGCAGTGGTCCAGGTACAGGGTGGCAGTGGCAGGACAGGGCGGTGGCCATGGAGGTGGTGACAAGAGATTGAAGTCTGGACATACTATGTTTCCCGGCTTTTTTTTTTTTTTTTTTTTGAGACAGAGTTTCAATCTTGTTGCCCAGGCTGGCTGAGTGGCAATGGCGCGATCTCGGCTCACCAAAACCTCGCCTCTCCGTTCAAGCCTCAAGCCTCGCTGAGTAGCTGGGATTACAGGCATGCACCCACCACACCCTGCTAATTTTTGTAGTTTTAGTAGAGATGGGGTTTCTCCATGTTGGTCAGGCTGGCCTCCGAACCCCTGGGCTCAGGTGACCCCCCACCTTGGCCTCCCAAAGTGCTGGATTACAGACTAAGCCACCACACCTGGCCTTCTCTTCT